CTATAGAGAAAGAGGGAGAAATGAGGTTTAACATCCACGCGACACAAACTACATCATTTCGGGACTAACATATGGTTCAATTTTATTTTAATAATTCGCTTGCGCATATGGCGAGAAACCCCACGAGGTAGGAAGTATTCAGTGTATAACAGTGTGATATGTAGGCTTTGTGCTAAAAGTCATCTTGCCCTTCAATCTGATTAAAACACAGACGTTTCGTTTTTTATAGTTCAAAATTTCATTTTACTTGTCTTTACTACACTAGGCCATCGAAAGTATAAAAAAAACGAAACGAAATATAGATCTGTATTTTAATCAGATTGCACGCCCTTCATTGCTGTCAACAGCCGTCCAATATGTTTACCAATAAAATGGGGATATGGTTAGTGATCTGATATCTAAATGACATGGTGAAAGGCATGATAATCGTAACCATGTTGATAAGCAACTACAAGATTAAAAATAAAATGTTGCAACTTGATTATCTGAACCTGTACAAATTAACAGTTCGCCTAAACGGCATAATTGGATACCGGTACAACTTGCTGTTTTATCATTCCCTATTGTGTCACCTCGAGCCTTAAACTGACAATTTTGAAATCGATTCTGTGCAGACGAATGGGTTCTGTTTCGTAATGTAATACGCCCTGCTTTATGTTGCAAAACTCCGTCTATATATAGCACAACACAGTTCTATGGATAACAATCCCTATATTGTGTACACACGACGTTTCGACAAGATTTCACTGGTCGTTATCAAGCATGCAAATTACAAATGACACTGCAAATGACACTTCTGACACTGCAGAAACATCACTAAATTGCAAGTGATTGTCCAACGAATACATGTAACTGAAACTGACTGGAATTGTTTCAAAGCCTTTCAATTTAACAACATTTCGTCTTTAGTCAATTAGTGTACAAAGTTCGGCAATTCATCTGAACTTTAAACAAGTCGAATTGTTCATACAATGATAGAATGTGCAATTAGTTAAAACTGACTGAAAATCAAGAGACAAATTTAGTAAAAATTTAAGTGGGATTTATCATGTATTTACACTCCCGTTACTTATTCTATGACTAAACACATGTTTTACACATGTTAAATTCCCAATTTACCACACTGCGCTTTGCCTAAATAGAAAATAAATATAACAATGTCTATCTAATGATACAAACAAACATAGGTATAAAGATGCTACTTCCTCTAAATCTACCCTTTTTATCCACCTTTACTATTGGTTATATCTCGTCAGAGTGTAATGTAACATTTTCTATCATTGGTTGAAATCTAAGCAGTGAGGAACAACATGGACGGAAATATAATTCAATAGGGTTTGTTAAACTGTGATTTAATTATGGTTTTTGTTTTGTGACCTGCGTAGTTTGTCAGAATGGCAACTTTCATGTAAACAATATAAGTACCAACGTTGGTATCTGCAGATTGGGATCACGGTGTTGAAGCTATTGATAACGACGATGATGACTATGATGCTTTTGCTGTTGATGACGAGTATAATGATGGCTACTTAAGGTGCTTATTTTTCAGCTGATGCTGATTATGATGATTGATACTGCACAACGATGACAGTGACGACGAAAATCATTCTAATAAATTATTATGACCAGAACGATGATCACGAGGTAGACAAGGTAGCTGTTTGAATATAAAGATGATTTAGATGCTATGGCGAGAAAATGGTTGGCTGGTGACGTTGTCTGTGGTCTGTCTTTTGTCTGTGGTTTAAATTGTGAAAAGGGGCCTATAGGCCTATGCTTTAAGGGCAGGTGATCATTTTAGCCTTGTTCGTTAGCTTTCAAACACCTGATCAGTCACACTAAGTCCAATAAATGATTATATTTACAAAATAAGATAAATGCACAAAGAGATCCCGAAGAGAACGAAAAATAACGAGTTTTGTGTGAGAATATATAACATTATAAAGGTGAAAGTACCAAGGATATCTCTAACGGTAATCTTGATCGATGTTAGGGCGACACCTGGTGATAGAACGTGTGATATAGGACAGGTAATCCTGCTTGTCCTGTTAACAAATCACAAGATATATTGACCGGATTAAAAAACGTATTAACCTAAATTAGCAGACCAAAAATGACATCTATTAAAAACAAGGAACTTCCATTACCCTTTGATTTGTAGGCTATAAAACCACCGTTATAACAAGTATAAACTTAATATTGCCACTTACATTTGAGCAGAAAAATAGCCAGTGTTAAGGAGTTCACTTAACACATTTGCTAACAAAAGTTTGTTATATCCGACCGGGATGTGCTCGGTGGGAAGAAGAATTGGCGTAATATAAAAGTTCGGGACTTTGTATATTGACGAGATTCCATAGAACTTGCAATTAATTTATAATATATCCACCAAACGGTCAGGTATTTTAAATCCAAACCATTCCTTGTAAAAATAAAATTGTGGCCATAGTTTCCTGGGGGGTTTTCACTAAAAGATCAAAGGAAGGAAGGTGGGACTTTAAATAATGGCGATAGATCTGAGATCTGAAGTCAATATTGAATTTGTGGGCATAAGTAAAAGTCAAATATTGACCTGTATATTACGTAATTAAGGCGTTGAACAGTTTTGGGTAGTTGGACGTATAAGGAAGAACAATTCGTGTAGGAACATTCTCAAATCAGATGATATAGTAAAAACATTGTTTGTATAACTGCAGTTGGAATACTTGACATGTCGACGATTCGCCAAAATCATGATGAATTCAAAGTTGCAGTGACCTTTTAATTAAACAGGGCACGTTTATGGGAGTTTTTACGGCGACATTTTGTGTACATTTATGCATATTTGTACAAAATAAAAGTGATTGAGCCAACGATTCTCCAGCAGGTGAATACGTTATACCGCGAAACTTGCGCTTCTGAAATCCAAGTCCAAATTCTCGCTTTATTAACTACTGTCAGTAACACTTTATACCACAAGTAGAAATGACACTTGCGTCCACGTGAGCTACATAATGTTATGGACACCATCGATCACTATATATACCAAGAATTTTCTTTTCAGAAGTATACAATATAGATAAACTTCAATTGTAAGATATCTAAGGATATGTTGTAAGCAAGTACGTGTAGGTTGAATGAAATCGTTCCGAAGTACGAAATAAACTGTTCACTCTATGTAGACTGAATAACCCCAAACATCAAGTTCTTTACTTATTCTATTGTTAGAGAGAGAGAGAGAGAGAGGGGGGGGGGCTAGCTGGTCAGTCAGCTCTGGCTTACAGTCGTGGGTTCGACCCCTTGAAGATACGGGGACCTTCTCAACCTCGTCTCTGCTCATATCAAAGACCTCTGTGCATGGTTTGAAGCGGACGTTAAATCCCTATGAAAGACAGGGAGGGAGGGGGAGGTAACTAAGTATTTTCGGAACTGAAATGGTATATCTTTATGTCAGTAACCCGGAAAGCAGAGACGAGGCGAGGCTGGTACAATACATGGCTCCTACCGGACCCATTTTTTCTTAAAACATGCATGCATTTAGTTTTTTTTATAGGGCATTCTTTAAAAGCAAATTAATATTTAAGAACGTGGGGTACCGTTGCAGTCTATATTTTTTAAAAGAAAGCGGGATATTGGCGGGGAAATAAATTTTCAACTAATACTGTACATAAAGCATAAATTAAATATTCTTATGTGTATACTATTAAGACATTCCAGTAGTCATTCAGTATCGCAATGAACAAAACAGAACAACAATTCAATCGATATCCAACGGATATGAATTAAAGTATGAATTACCGGTAAAATTCTTACCTGTTCCTTTACATAAGGTTTCTGAATATATGTTTTGTTTAAATCCAGTTTAATATTCCTTAGAATTAATACATATTATATTATAGTTATTATTGTTCTCACTCAATGCTGGTATTGATGGATATAATAGATAAATTACCTATGTTTATTAATTGAAACCTACATTGACCTATGTCTAATTTAATTATAGTAATATACGTCATCTAGATTGTTACTAGTGATCTGTTCTCACGCTCTATGTATATAATAGGTAAGTATTTGTTTGTAAAGACCTATATATAGACTAAACACCTTGGACTCGAACCTCTAAACTATTGCTTAAAGGTGCGCAATCATGTTAATAATAACTGCATATATCCTGCTTGAAATAGACATTTGAACAGACGGGGAACTCCAAATCCATGCCACATCCCCACCCACCTTGCATGTAACGCGTCAATTTCAAGAACTAGATTAAGGTTGGGAGTATGAAGGGCACCCACTCCCCCAAATCCATATTCAGGATTTAAAAAGAACTGCACAATCAGAACATTTTTGAGATTTTTATTAATTTATATTATTATTTAAAAAAAAAACCCAACCCTGAACGGTCAGAACATTTTTGAGATTTGTATTAATTTACATTATTAATTCAAAGAATTTATTCTGGCGCTGTATTAATTGGCATGACCATATGGCATGACCATCAACGTATTAAAGCAATGTTCAAAACCATATTGTGGATTGGGTGGACCAATGTATAGACCACAGAGGAACTGACTGGTTAGGGTTGAAAACCTCTTTTGCAAAAAACTTCGGTGTTTAGTATGCGATATCACCCTGGTGGAAGCGGACGTTAGTTAAATCTATTTAAACAAATGTCAGTGACGCTGACCGAAACGTCGCACCTCCCTTTAAACTGGTGGGAAAGACCACTTTGAGTTCAACATCATTTAAAACACGTACAGTCACACCCAGAAAATGACCAAGTTTAAACCATGATAAAAAAATTCTTTAGCATGTCATGTGAAACAATGATGTAGGTCTGATATACTAAGTGAATTTATTATCACCATGTTTTGTGTTTTATAAAATAAAAGTAGTGAAAAAAACTCAACATATCTCACGGTCTTCGAGTGTCACATGGTCGGTTATTCCCGCTTTTTTTAGACATGATGTAAGCTTCGAGAAAAAAGCTGTGGGAACCTGATGACACATTCTGATTCGGGAATATTTTTCAGCGCCTGGACATGAAATCAAATGTTGTGTTGCGTTACTATGTGTTACAGTTACACGATCGTTTTAAAAAGTATGGGATTAGCCTATGTAAGTTGTGTAATTTAATGTTAACCAATTGTAAAAGACGTTTGACACTTCAAGGACAAAGGAGGCGCAATAATTTGTAAATTTGTAAATGCCCCAGCTATTGTCTACGATATCAACCTCGGTGGAAGCGGACGTTAAGACCTACAGGAAAGAGGCTGTTGTCTGAGAATAGTTTAGTACAGGCAACTGTCTTAATGGAAACTGTTATGTTTTAAAAGATAACGAAATACTCTTGGTATCCTATAAATATTAATTCTACTTTTCGTGAGAAATATAATATGGTAGTGCCTGTTAATGCAACCATACTATGCGGAATCTAGACCTTGCTAGAAAAAGGGGAAAATAACAAAATGAAATGAGTTTAACGTCCTACAGGGAAAATAACAAAACAGAGAGCTATCAACAGCTTTGATTAAATGTGGCATTTGCAAGAAGGAACAATTACAGAATATGTCAATTATAGAATATGTCAACAATTAAAAACCTATCAATAGAGTCAAAATCCAAAGGTGTAGATATAAAACCAAAACATGAAGAGGGTTTTTATTGACCATTCGCATCCCAACATTTTGCCCCTACCACCACCCCAAAGTACAGGTAGAAAGCTGATCAGTATTCTGTTTGTCTTGAGATCTTTGACCAGGGCAATTTATACAATACTGAAACTACTAGTAGTAGCTTTTTTCAATAAGCCCTATATGCATATGTAAATCAACATGGTTATTGGACTATAAAAATATGAAGTAAGCTAAAGGACTCTAATAACAGACTTTTTCCCAAACTGATCAGCAGTGATTATTCACTAGGCCATTACAATCACTGATAGGGATGACATCGGTGTGGCTTAATGAGCTTGCGATATTAACTTTTTTTGAAGTATTAGAAAAATAAATAAAGGTATTTGAAGTATATCTTGATAAAAATATTTCCTATTAGTGTAAATGCGTACATATATAAAATGAGTAAAAGGCCCCATTCTACTCGGACCAGTTAAAGGACAATATTGGTGTCAGTCATTATCACATATGTGATAGAACTGGTTAAACACATTCTAAATATAATTTTAATACAGAGATCATTGCTATTATAAATGTGTATTGAAGATTTCAAGAAACATAAGTGACGAAAGCAAAAGGAAAACAACAACATCTTAGGTAAACAATGCACGCGCCATAGAGCCAATGATGGACGCACAGTGATGTGACGTCATACTTGAACTTATAAAGGTCAGTCATCTAATACAGAGGTATAAGAAGCCTTTCAGATTGACTTTTTCCTATACCCCATTATATACTCAACAGTATTGACCCATTGGTAATCACTGAATCAGCCCACACAGAAAAATCAGAATTATAACATGAACAATTATGTGAATAGTGAATACAATAGCCACATCTTTATATAGGTGCTTATATTTTGACAATAAAACCTTCCTGAAAATCAATGTTTACTACCGAATTTTCCAATATGCACCTTTAAAGTAAATATTGGGATTTTTTTTTCGAAGGGGTTGCTATGTAGTGGTAATTAAACAACTAAGTAATCGATTCAAATCCTGATCACCTGATGAACTAAGCCTGTCTGCTAAGGCGCTAAGCAATTTTAGTGCATGTCTGGCACTTTAATACAGGCTATAACAACAGCCTATAATAAATTTCAGTGAATGGAATGGACAAACTCAAAGAAAAAAAGACTGGTAAACTTAATTTACGTGTTTATTAAACATACATTATGCAAGAGCTAAATCTGCCTATTGCAGCTCTTTCTTTAGGCCTATCAAAATTATTAATTAGACATCAATTAACTTATCCAGACCATAATCAACTCTGGATGTCAATGCTAGCCTGCGATATTTACTGGATTACAATTAGGATCCGATTTGCTGCTCAACTTTCATTCATGATTTATTCATGAAATGGATAATTGAGACTATGTTTTTTATCGTACCGACTTTTGTAATGATGATCGAGGCTAGGCCGAAAATTCAATCGCTAAAATCTTGGTTCAGAGTGGATCAATTTGACTGAAATTTTCAGCAAATTCCCTTTACATTATTTAGTTTTTAACTATTATATTGAGAACTGCCAGCTCTTGATCTAATCTCCCATAATGTATCTTTTAATTTGTCAATTATAAAGTTGATATTCTCCCAAAACTATTATCTGCTCGACTAGATAAGGTTCGTCAAAAAGTAGATTCTCAGCCAATATTTTTCTTGACGGCAATAACATTTAGTTTTAAACAGTTAAGAATTATTACCAAGTCTTCAATTAAAAAGTAATTTGTCTTACCTTTGTAGATATTAAAATAAGAAGGATGATTGAAGACAAAGAGGTTGAAATCTGCTAAAATCCATCTTAATAAGACGAGTATAGAGAGCATCCCAATATAGATGTAAGTAAAATATCCTTTAATCTAGTCACTCACTTTACTCTGAAATGCAGAAAAAAAACCTCAGTTATTTATATACTATATATCATACCTATCACAGGTTCTTATACTTCTATATATTCCATACATATTTGACCGGATTGTACTCAATGATGTCATTATATCAGGAAAACAAGTTCAAACTGCAGAATTAACAAAATTCTAAAAAGTGAACAAGGGCAGTAGCTTCAGAAGTATTTATCAGAAATTGTTTAAATTCAAAAGGTTTCTTCATCTCTGAAAATTTAAAATTCTAAAAAGTGAATAAGGACAGTAGCTTCAGAAGTATTTATCAGAAATTGTTTAAATTCAAAAGGTTTTTTTATCTCTGAAAATTTAAAATTCTAAAAAGTGAACAAGGACAGTAGCTTCAGAAGTATTTATCAGAAATTGCTTAAATTCAAAAGGTCTTTTCATCTCTGAAAATTTAAAATTCTAAAAAGTGAACAAGGGCAGTAGCTTCGGAAGTATTTTAAAAGGTTTTTTCATCTCTGAAAATTTAAAATTGTGAATCTTTTTTCCCTGACATTGGTAACTGGAAACTAAAATTTTCCAATTTTGAAGACTTCGCATGGGCAAGATGGTAGAAAGGCTTCTGCAGCCTAATCATTTACCCTTCTGAAATAAAGTTATTATTATTATTTTGGTTCTGCCATGTTCAGAGTTCTCAAACTAACTTTATCCTCTAAGTCACACCCACTTTTCAATTAACGCCTATGCAAAACTTGCACCGAAATCCATTTCCTTCCATAATCCCACATGAAAGAATTTCTGATTTAGGATGCATGCATATGGAAAGTAAAATTTACCATTTATCACAGGTACCAAAACTCTGAACAACAATTAGTTAATGTCTGTCTGTGTACTCATAGACCTAACAATCAACGTATGCCACCATCCTCCTATATGTTCTTCAAACAACTGAATGTATTACCTAATATAAAAAACAACCATTTCTTACAGCTTCAGTGTGGTAGACTTTTTTCTCAGGACATTACATGTGTTCTAAGAATAGACAGTAATTCAATCTGATGCTGATTTTGGTAAAATTCTTTATAACTGTAACCGTGGGAGATTATAAGAAGGTGATTGGAGTTGTTTACATAAGGATCCCCAATAGTTGGCTGTACGTAATATCATTTGAATAAAATTGAAATATGAAATTTTGTAAATGGTTATTCCTAAGTTGAATAAAACTGAACCTGACTGTTTTTAATTATCTAGCATAAAGTGTTTTGATGATCCATGCCCAAATTTTTCCTTCAAACTTGCTAGGATTATTAGACTAGTCCCAAGGAGTAACTATTGTTGAGTAACAATTTCTTACACGCCACTGTCTCTGAAATATTGTGAATGCTCAACTGAGGCCCGTAGCCAGCTTGCTGACTGCGGAGGGCAGTGAAGTTTTTAGGGGATGGGAGCACAGTCGACAGTAAGTAGGTATTTTAGAAATTTTGGGGTTTTTTTTGGGGGGGGGGGGGGCTAGCCTGGCTCTACTGGTCAGAGTCGGCAGTTTTATTTGTTGAAACTTGATGGGATTTTGGGTAGGAATTAGGAGGAACTCTATTAAAGTTTTAAAGTTCAGAGCCTATAGGTAAAACTAGTTACTAGTGACTGAATTTGATGGAAGCCTGGATCACCAAAATGCTGATGGCCATATGTTTCATTGCTTGGTAAGCTTTCGTTGAAAAGGGGTTTTAACCAATGCAGTGGCACTCATAAATACGCTACAAATGTATCCTGGAGTAGAATTTTATTTTTTATTGTAAACCAATTCTGATAATTAAAAATTACAACTAGAGAAATGAGCCACGATAGTATATCATCATCTATTTTATAAGATGATTAATCTTTAATTAACCCATGTCAAAGGATGTAGAAATAATTACGAATTACAGTTATTTAAAGATACATTATGGGAGATTCGGTAACGAGTTGGCAGTTCTCACTATAATAGTTAAAAACTAGATAATGAAGAAGTCAATTTGGTGATAATTTCATTCAAATTGATCCACTATGAACCGAGAACTAAGCGACTAAAATTCCCATAAGCCTCGGTCATCATTACTAAAGTCAGCACGATAAACAGGGTAGTCTTGATTATCCATTTAATCGTTTAATAGAGAAGGAAAGTTTTGCAGTAAATCGGCTTACAATCCACTAAAGATCGCAGGTTAGCGCAGCCATCTAGAGTTGATTATGGCCTGGATAGGTTAATTAATGTCTAATTAATAATTTAGATAACATTTCAGGCCCAAAGAAAGACCTGAAATAGGCAGATGTAGCTCTTGCATAATGCATGTGTAAAGAACAAGCACTGCATTTCAGTTTAATAAAAAAAAAACAAACAGAAACTTGGTAAGAGTCATCAATATAGAAGAATAAAGTTATTTTCTCCCAAATGGAGAATATAAATTTTTTTTTTGCAAAACTATTTTTCTTTTAAGATGTACAAGGGAGCTAACTCGGAGAGTGATCAGGTTAATGTAGAACTCTCTACATTTGTTATTGGGGTCTTGTATACAAAATCTCTAATTGTTAGTCTAAAGAGCACTAGATAAACTAATTCTTGATATACAAAAACTCTGTAAACATTGTTATTGATACCAAAGGAATTTTGCACATGGTTAGTAAGTACAATAAACAAATGGATATAAAAAGTACAAATAGTCAAAAAAACATGACACTTCTCCTTTAAATAAAAAAAATATATTAAAGAAAGCACTTTATGTTTGTATAAATATTAAATGTTATATATGTGACGTTATCTTCTTTAATGTTAAAAACTGCTATTGCTGATGTTCTATATCTTTACACATCTTCTATACAGACACATTACTGTCAAACTGTCATTTATCACATGCAACTGTTGCACATGCATTAATACAAATCTTCAAAGAAATAGACACAACTTCATGCTTTGAAAGAGAGAAAACAAGTAGACCCATAATCAGGGTTGTGTACTCCAGTGTTTCATGAGGTTACATATTGGGTTGAGTTGATCAGACTATTTGAGAAATGTATTCAGTTTGCTTTACAGATTGGTAATCCAAAACAGCAGCCATTCCATCATAAAATCAAACATTGAATATCTCTATAACACTACACCCCATTGTTCCACCACAAAATTGACGGAATATTTTGACATTTGGCATGTCAAGTCATCTTTTGTATTTTTTCGTTTGTTATCCTGAATCATGCACAAACAATCCAAGAAATTACTGGGGTCTTTAAGGCTCCTCTCCCGTTAAAATTCATCATAAATTAAAGCTTTTGTTGTCTGATTATTAGAAAGCAGAAGTCTTTTTCAATTTCTGCCACGTGTTAAAGGTGTTCTTTAAAATTTCAGATGAAATTAGAATGAATTATTTCAGTTTATTTTTTATGTCTCACATCCCATCTGAAGAATAGGCCATTGTTTTATTTTTTTCTTTTGATCCATCAGCCAAGAAGTCCTTTGCTGTTATTGTTCTAGTAAAAAAACAAATAATGAAATATATTTAAGATCACCTCTGGCTTCTTAAAAAATATTTCATAACTTGCATATTTAAAGGGTTAAAGTTTGACTAAGATAATTAAAAATTTGTATTTATAGCTTGGTTTTGGAGATTTTCAATTAATATAAATGAACAAAAAATAGTTTGAAAATTTGGTTCATGATTTTAAACAATTTTAAGAAAAAAAAATTACATAAAAGGTGAATTTTATTTAACTGAACTTGATACACAAGCAAAACTCTTTTTTTTAATGTCAAAATCAAAGTAAAAAACAGTCCTTTGATTCATGGTATATTTTCTGACTTACTTACATCTTTCTAATATTGTACTTAAATGATTGAAAGTAGTTTTATCTGAAATGACCAGTATAGGATTAAATGTTGTGAAACTGGCCAAAAAACTTGTTAAAAACCTCCATGTTAAGGTGCGTTCTCCTTTTAAGATATCTTGGTATTGCATGTGACTCATATAAAAAGCTTTGGAGACGTTTTTTTTGGTCCAGTCAAATTAAAATCATTGTCCACCATGTGAAAGAAGATCGCAAGTGACATTTTGGTATGGAGTCAGACTAATAAAAACTTCACCTATGTTTAATGAATTCTCTTTAACGCCCAAAATAAGCAATAAAGTTGTTTCTGAGGCATTTGTTTGAAAAGGATACTCATTCGTAATGGAAATTAAAACAGAATTTTTAATTAGATAAATTTCTTTGAAGGTTTTCTTTTGGGGGGAGAATGATACATTTTAAAAAGTCAAAAGATCAGTGTATTTTTCAGGTGAATGAATAAAGCAAAAATTAAAAGCCCCATTCATTCAGCTGTTGTGCATTATGTTCAAAATTTTTGAATAATAAATAATAATCTTAATAGTGCTGGAATTCCAACCAAGTGGCTGTGCAAATTGCAATATCAGAGAGTCATAAATAATATAATGGTCAAAAAAATTTTGTTTTTTAAATTCTGTTTAATGTTTTGAACATTTTCTGGTAAAGAGTTCAATATGGCACAAGTTGCCAAGGAAAACAAAAGTAATTGAGGATATCATTAGTAGGTTTTTATCAGACAGTTTAAACTGGCAGGAAGGTCATCTTTAATACAGCTGAATTCTATTTTTGTGCCCTTCCAAATTGTACATGGAACTTCAATATTCTGTCTCCTCTGAATAACTAGACACATCAGCCCTGGACAATCTAGTCTTTAGTCCTGTGTAATTAACAGATATTGACTAAAACAGCCCAAGTGTGTTTAGTAGGCTATCTGTCACTCCAATTTGAATGCAAAAAGGTTAATAATAAATCAACAAAATAACCTTGAAAATTTGCACTATAAGGACATTAACTTGGAGAAAGATTCATCAGCAAATTAACAATTACAGTTGCACAGCAACTAGCAAAACAAAACACTATCGAAATAAAAAACATGATCATTAAATCAGGCTATTCAAAAATTAAATTCCATCAAGTAAAAAAGATTAAGAGATTGTCATGCAACTGTCTGCATCCGGTAATAATTCATGGTGGGAATAATGTTGATAAGATATGTCTGAGAGAATAATGATTGATTATGTTGCAGATGATGAATATTTTAAAACTTGGTTCATTTCGGATTAAAAGACCACCTACATGTAACAATAAATTGATAAGATTTGATTATTTCGTTAAATTATTTATTGTTCCATGCACGATGAGCAGCATTTTGAGGTATATAATCAGTATTGTTTGCACGATATCCATGATAAACAACAAAACATTATGATTTGTTTCTGTACAACTAGGCAACAGGTAACAAGTTTATGAAGGTCACCTACAACTTTCAGCTTTTAATGACCCGGTCAAATTGCTTGAAAAGCAGAAAAAAACAATTCCTTATATTGCTTTGCCCACGCTTAGTAAGTCTATAAAGGTCACCCACTTCTTATTACATTATGTAATGAAATGCTCAGATTGCTTGAAAAGCAAAATAAGATTCTTTTATTATCACTGTTACCACTTCATTCATATTGGATGGAAAAAGTCAAAATGAAATAGAGACATATTATTATGCTATAAGTGTACTAGCCAAGCGATAAGTGCCAATGGGCCTAGCAAAAGTGGATGTGTGGAGAACAGAAGATTTTTTATTTTTCGTCTGGGCTTTTAAAATTTTAGACTTTACATCTAAACTAAGCTGCAAAGGGCTGTCATTAAATCACAAATATTAAAATTTCCATAGTTTTTCACGACTGCATGGCTATTTAAACTGCCTGTTTTGGTATTTCCTTATTCACATATTCTTTTGTGTGGTATAAATGTAATTCAATAAAATAGGCAAATGTCTATGATTCGTCATTTCTATCAGTCTGAAAATTTATTTAAAAGGATCCAAGAATTGTTTACTTTAGTTGGATCGAATCAACAAATTATTTATATTATTATTGTTCGATTTATATAGCGCTTCATTACACATTAGTGTTTCTAAGCACATAGTCTTTGAATTTGAATAGTTCAAATCTGCACTTGATGTGACAACTACCAGTCATTGTTAATATTTTAAACTATTCTATAATGCTGTTCCAAGTTAATTCAAAGAGATTTAAGCTACAGAGAAACAGCTTGATAAAGAGAGGGCTGTATATAGGGTTACATGGGCTACATGTAC